ACCAGACAACCACGCCAAGCATGAGAATGGAAATAGCCGCTGCTTCTAGAGCATTAGCGTGAGTATCCCAGCAAACCGCCACATAGGCAGTAATTGTATCAGACTCCATGAACATGCTCCAGAAAATAGCAACAGGTGGTAAGCGCTCTGAATGGGTAGAAAGCATTCGAAAATCGCGCTTAACCTCCCTCGCCTGGATCTACACACCGGGTTATGCGGGCGTACAGGGAAAGGAGCGAGCGAACCAACTGGCAGGCAATGCACTAAGGCATGTGGGAAGAAGCATGGACAGAGCAGATATCAACGCTGTACGGACTGGGCTAGTGGATAGTGAGGAATCCCTGACACTAACATGATTACATGACAGGGGAGTAAAGCATGGTGAAGCACGTCTATGCCCGTCTTCAAGGTCGAGATAAGAGACAATATAACCAGCTTGTCATGGCAACAATTAGTAGAAGTTCTTTGGATTCGCTGCTGCATCGAAGGACTGAGCACGCATGGGAATGCGCAATTTGCTGTGACGTCGATTGTGATAACATAACATAACTGTTGTTTGGAGAGAAGGAAAGGTGCCAACAGTTTTAAAAAATCAATCAACAATTCAGATAAGCAATCAGCGAACCACATCACACATCAAGCGTCGACTGATCTATCAAAATCGCATTACATTTTATAGCCAACTGCCTTGATGACAAAACAGGATACTGTATCTTTTCATAAATTTTCTCACGTATGTGTGGAAATCTTATCTTGTGTCCGTAACTCTGCCCATCCATTCATTTATTCATCCATCCGTCCATCCATCCATCCATCCATCCATCCGTTCGTCCATCCATCCATCCATCCATCCATCCATCCATCCATCCATCCATCCATCCATCCATCCATCCATCCATCCATCCATCCACTCGTGTAACCCCACCCCAACTCAACCCTTCCGTCTACATGTTATGTCAAAGTCTGTATTTCAATGCATGAATAAATCCACTAAACAGCTTGATACAATTCCCTAAACCAGGGGACCAAATTTACAACTCCAGTTTAAGAACTTAAAGTGCACAAATGCAGTTTTCATTCAGACAAACCCTTTAAATAAATGCTTATGCCTTATATTAACACCGGCATTCAGGCGAATACATTTCTATATATATATATATAGGTGAATAAACAAACTGCTCAGATCCAACATTTCAATGATGTTGCTTGCAGGGGTGCTGACCAAGGGAAAAAAAGGGGGCTAGGGGGTTTGCACATCCCTTTTACACTTTAGAGGGTAGGTCGCTGGGGCCTGAGAGTTGTTTACATAAATATTTATTCATCGTGCAGCGGGTCCTTTGCAGAGGCCGCTCTCATAACGGACTGTCTGTGAGAAACTCAGTCTCTCGTCAGCTCTCCTACTTTTATACTCAAGGTGTCACTCGTAAATTCTACCCATCTTCGTGCTGTTCCGCCGCTGCCATTTTTTTCTGGTACCATGCGTTCTGTTCTCATTCTTCGCAATCCGTCAGGGAGCATTTCGTGGCAAGAACATTTAAGTTTTAGAGACAAAATGCTGTTCATTAGCATATTCTTGATATTTAGACATTAGGGGTGTCAGTATTTTTTGTCTTTTGGGCCAATGGTATTCTGACAATCTGTCTATAGCGTTTCAGTTCAAAAGCCCCAGTTTCCTTCTAGACAGACTGCGAGATATTGATATACTCCACGGCTCACATCCTCTGTGGTTTTACTATAGGGAAGACGCCTTTTGAAAATTATGACTTCGATTTCCTTGCTAGTGCTTAACTATAGACACAGTGTTGTTACAAACACACACACACACAAACACAATATGCTGTATGGTAAGTAAATATATTATTTTATTTAAAATAATATGAATAGTGTAAACGATACTTGAAAACGAATTTCTGGTTCTTATAACGATGTCCGGTCAAAATACATATTGGTTGACCTTTTATTCATGCTTGTTAGAGGGGTGTCACGCTGTAATGTCTCCGATGCTATCACCGGCCATGACGCGTATACTACACATCGCTTTTAACGACCTCATATCTAGAACTGGCCCTAACCCCAAAACCCCTTACCCACAGTCAGAGCCTACGTCCCAAAACAGCGTGCAGCATACGATCCGTGGTTTTAGAACTGTTAGCATTTTGTGGTGGGCCCTAAGCTATAATATACGCAACGTCGCCAGCCGCTACTAACAGTAACAAGTAAAAACGCAATATCGCCGGCTGCTGCTCACAAGTCCAACACACAACGCAGAAAGCTTTACGAAGACAATACAACGTGACACCCCACTAGCATAGACTAGTCCGAGCAAGCATGAATGAAAGGTCAACCAATGTGTAAGTGGACAGGACATCATAAAAAGAACCGAATTTCGGTACGGCTAACGATTTCGGGCCCGGGCACGCCGTGACTGGCCGTTCACGCAGTATGTTAATCCTTGAGGGGGTGTCAGGTTGTTTTGCGATCATGTATGCTCTATATTACAGGATGTGAACTGTTTTTACGACCCCAGAATATCTAGAACTGGCCCTAACCCCAAACCCACAGGTTCAGCCTACGTCCCATGTGAGACTGCACGCTACGTGTTAACATTTTGTGGTAGCGTCAACAGATGGTTCTTCGAACAGCGTCTCCTAGACGGAAGGATGCCATGTTGCTGTAAAAAAAGCAACGTTCTTCTCCTTGTCGGCTGTCAAGGCTGACAACTGAAGTAAATTCATTTGGCATCTGTAGTCCGAGAACACCAGAAAATACGCTCAGAAAAACCAGTAAGTAAAACAACGTGTACCTGTCCGTCCACTAACATATACATCGCAGAACACAACATAACTACCCTGTAACTTGACTAAAGCGTCTCAAAGATTAAGACCCAAGAATAAACGCACAATCAAGGTCTGTCTGGGCCCGACATCGTTACATGAACCCGAATTTCTTTACATGGTAAGAAAAAGGAGGAGTAGATGCTTCAATAGCTAAACCTTCACGCTGCGCCGCCCCTAGATCCGTCCACAAAAGATAATCACGGCCAGCCATCAGCCAGACCTGAGACGTCTGGCGGGTTCTTTCTCCAGCCAACACCGGAAAACATTTTCCGGTGACTAATTTCAAAAATTCACCGACATTTTTACACCTCTTGCTAATCTCCCCATCGTGTCCATTATACACGTGTTACCTTGTAAGAATCGGCACATTTGTCTAAACACACTGTACCCATCTTAAGAAGATTTTATTTGTCAGTCTGCGTGCAGTTAATTCGTTTCAAAGTAAATGAGTGAGCAAAGGACAATTTTAACGCCTAATCGTAGATCTCCGGGACAGCATGGCGAACTTCTAGGTGACTCCGTTTACATCCTTAAGGCTCTCTTAAATGTGGCGGCATGTTCTTCTTAGCATGAATCAGTGGC